GCCAACATAATTGTAATAACAAAAATCTGTCAAAGATACCACAAGAATAAAACTAATAATAAGTTAGTCTTTTTCATGAACACAGATAGAAAAGTCCTAAATAAAACATCATCAGACCAGTCCAGCAATATGTTAAAAAGATAATACAACATGACGAAGATGGGATTATTTCAGGAATGCAAAGTTGTTTTAGGTTTTGAAATCAATTAATGTACTGTACCGCATAAACATAAAAGAATAATCAGATGCTTACCTCTGTAAATGCAGATACAATAAAAATTGAAAAAAATTAACATTTATTTGCTAAATAAAGTAAAACAAATATTGAAAAAATGTTTTGGAACAATTTTTCAACAAATTTTTGTTCTAAAAAATTTTAAGAACAAATTCTAGTCATATTCATGATGTTTTTAAAAAACACTTAACAAACTAGAGATAATGGGGAACTTTCTAAATTTTATATGAGATATTTACAGAAAACCTACAACAAGTGGTATACTTAATCATGAAATTATGAAAGCATCCCTCTGAGTTGAGAACAATGTGGTGCTTTCTGTGAGCCTTTTACTGAGTCCTAAACGAGTGCACTAAAGTAAGAAAAGGAAATATAAGGTATAAAGATTGGAAGTGAAGAAATTAAACTGTTAACAGACAACATGATTGGGTATGCAGAAAATTCAAAGAATGTTCAGAAACACTAATGAAATCAGTGAATCTAGGAATGTTGTTGGAAATAAGTTCTCTATATTTTTAAAAGTGCATTTTTTATGGAATGGTTACAAACAATTAGAAAATGCCATTTAAGAGGTGGGGATGGGCTGACAAAGGAGCTAAAGACATGGCTGACAGGGTTGGAGTCATGGAGATACCCAAAGGGGTGTCCAGTGGGTTGGGAGATTGGTTATTTATGGGTAGAGTGAGAAAATAAGCAAATATATCAAAGATAATGGGAGGTAGGTCTTTCACAGTTGGAGAAGGGAGTTACAAATATGTAAAGGGGCAGAGGCAACAGTGAACATTGTGGTTGAATTGCAATTGGAAGTATCAATGTGAATTTATGGTTTTTGATACATAGAGATATAGAAAACTACAGATCAATATTCCTCACAAACATAGACTCAAAAATCCTCAGTAAAGTATTAACATATTGAATCCAGCAATAGATGAAAAGAACTAGACCTCACTACCAAATGGGATTTATTCTAGTAATGCAAGGCTGGTTTGCCATTCAAAAAGTATTGTAGTTCACTATATTAACAGGTTAAAGAAGAAAAACAACTTCAAAAAAATGGACTTCAAATATTTACTGACTTAGTTCCAGTGAAATGTAGAAACTTTACTCTTACATAGCTCCATTTAGTCCTACCCTTTGTTGTACTGTTGTTACCCCCGTTACATCTTTATCTGTTACAAACCCAGCAATACATTGTTGATAATTATTAATTTATATAATCTTATTAGGTCTTTTAAAGAAGCTGAGAGAAAACACTGAGAGCAAGTGTACATTTCTAAACCTTCTTGCTTACCCTTTTGGTTCTTTTCATTTCTTCTTGTGGATCTGAGCTACATCTGGTGTCATTTTCTTAACCCAGTAAAGCTTTACTCCTACATCACCTTTGTACTGTTCTGGTCAAATATATTCTATTTATTACATTTCTACATGTTATAAGCCAAATGATAGGCTCTATATATAGTACTTTTGCATATATATGCAGTTGCTTTTTAAATCAGCTTAGGGAATAAAGAAGGTACAATATGCAATTATACTATTTCTTCATTACCTGCATGATTACCTCTACTGTGCTTTGGATTGTTTGATATGAATTCACGGTACTGTCTGGTTATCTGCTTTCAGCATGAAGGACTTTCTTTACTATTTCTTGGAAGGCAGATCTTCTAGTAAAAAATTTTGTAAGATTTTATCTGAGAATATCTTTATGTTCATATTTATCTTCATGTTTAAAATATGAAAATATGGTTTTGCTGGATGTAAGGTTTTTTTTCCTACTCTCAGTACTTTGCATATGTCTCCTACTGCCTTCTGGCCTCCTTTGTTTCTGAGAGAAGCTAGATGTTGTGTGATTAATCATTTTTCTCTTAGGGCTTTCAGTATTTTCTTTTCTTTCTTATTTTTTTTGAGACAGAGTCTTGCTCTTTTGCCAAGCTGGAATGCAGTGGCGCGATCCTGGCTCACTGCAACGTCCACCTCCCAGGTTCAAGTGATTCTCCTGCCTCAGCCTCCCAAGTAGCTGGGACTTCAGGTGCACACCACCATGCCCAGCTAATTTTTGTATTTTTACTAGAAACGGGGTTTCACTATGTTAGCTTGGAGGGTCTTGATCTCTTGATCTCATGATCTGCCCACTTTGGCCTCCCAAAGTGCTGGGATTACTGGTGTGAGCCACTGTGCCCAGCTGGCTTTCAATATTTTATCTTTGGCTTTCAATATTTTATTTTTGATGTGTCTGGATCTAGATTTCTTTGCATTTATCCTACTTGGAGTTTATTGTATTTCTTGGATGTGTAGGTTTATGTTTTTGAACAAATTTGAGATTTTTCAGGATTATGTATCTTAATATTTTTTCAGTTTTTCTTTCCTCTCCTAGTGTTCCCATTACATACCGTACACATATGTGGGTGCATTTAGTGGTTGCCCACATTTCTCTGAACCTCTGTTGATGTTAGTTTTTCTTAATTATTGTTTCTCTTTGTTCTTCAGATATTGCACAATCTCTGTTGATCTATTTCAAGTTTGTCAGCTTAAATGTACTGTTGAGCCCTTCTGGTGAATTTTTCATTTTGGTTATTGTACTTTTCAACTCCAGAATTTCCACTCGATTTTTAAAATATTTTGTCTTCTTATTGATATTCTGTATTTGATGAGACTTGTCATCATACCTTCCTTTAATTATTTAAGCATAGTTTCCTTTAGTTCATTGAACATATTTGTATTAACTACTTTGAAGTCTTTGCAAAATCTACCATCTGGGCCCCTTCAAAGGCAATTTCTATTGCCCGAATGCTTTTTTTCTTTCTTTTTCTTACTGGTCACATTTATTTGTTTGTTTATGTTTCAATTTTTTGTAGGCTGAATATTTTAGACAATATGTTGTAGCAGTTCTGATATGTGCCCCCGAAAGAGGTTGTTGTTGGTTAGCTGGCTGATTATCTGTTTAGTGACTTGGCTGAGATAATTCTGTAGTCTGTTTCCCTGTAGTGTGCAGCCTCTCATATCCTTAAACGCAGATATTTTTCATTTTTTTCTTTTGGCCTGGCTACCTAGGGCTGCCCATGAGTTGCCTAAGCTGCTTATTATTTACAGATTGTACATGAACTCCCTCAGCCAATTAGAATTTTACCTTTTTCTACCAGATTTATGTGTGGCTTGGAAATTGCTATCGTAGTTCAGAGAGTTAATGGCTTTTGCATCAAGTTCAGCTAGAGACTGGTAGTTTGGATGTCCCCTCTCTGATTGTACATAAGGGGGTACAGCCTTGGGCATGCACACAGTCTTCCAGGCTGCGAGGGCTGAATATGATTTCATTTTTAAGCCTGACCTCCTAGGAGATGCCCCTGGGTCGGGAGAGCTTACTGCTCAGCGTTTGGTAGGCTGTTGTGTTTGGTAGGCCCATTGTGCCAGTGAGACTCTGCCCTGTGTTAACAGGTCTTTGTGTAAGCTTAGGAGATGCTTTCAAGTTTTCCCCACATCCCACTCTGCACCTGAATCAGTACAACCTAACACATACACAAGGCCTTCCAGCCCCTAGAGTTGTCTGTTATCCCTGAAGAGCTCTTTTTCACTGTCTCTTTTCCATGTTATCTCTGTCAAAATTCCACTGCTCTATATCATTTTGCTTACAGCCTAGAGTTATCAGCCTCCTCTTAATCACTTTCCGCTAAGATCTCCATTGTTTTAGAAAGTGTCCACAGGCATGGACTTTTCCATGTTCTATTCCAAATAAAGTCAGTCCCCTCAAGCAGAGCTCCCTGTCTTAGCACCTGACTTTCCCATGGGCAGAATGTTTGCCTCACTGCACCAGAGCTGATGCAGGGACCTGCTTTTCCAGGAGTAACATCCTCACTTCTGTCAGTGACACTTGAGGTGTGTGTATGTGCGTGTGTGTATGTGCGTGTATATGTGTGCGCACATGCGTGCGCCTGCCTGTGTGTAAGCCCCTGGTCTTTCTGGCTTGCCCTTCATGGCTTGGAACTTTCATCCTTTGAGCAAACTGGGTCAGGAATAATTGGGCCACGGTTATTCTCAGTATGTTGAACTTGGAGTGGAGCTTCTTCCAACAAGTGAGGATGGGCGGTGGGGAAGAGAATCTGGGCTCTCTTGGCCACACCTGCTTGGAATAGAGCTTCTGCCACATGGGGCTAGGGTAAGAATAAGAAATCCCAGCAGTTTGCCTTTCTGGACTGAAACCATAGCCCAAGCTATGGGGAGAAGGAGTCCCTTGCCTTGGCCACACCTGCCCCGTGTGCACAGCAGCAAAGTTTCTGGAGCTAAGGCCGTAACAGAGTAAATCATGGCTCAAATGCTGCAGACTCTGTTCTTACCGGGATTGAGTAGATTTTCTTGAGTAAATGTTTTTCTATTTGCTCTGTTCCCTGAGGACAATTTCTAAAGACATTTTATTTATTTTAGACAGGGTCTTACTCTGTCACTGAGGCCAGAGTGCAGTGGTACTCTCACAGCTCACTGCCACCTCAGCCTCTCCAGCTCAAGCCATCTTCCTGCCTCAGGCACATGCCACCATGCCCAGCTTATTATTTTTGTTTTTATAAAGACAAGGTCTCACTATGTTACCCAGGCTGTTCTCAAACTGCTGGGCTCAAGGGATCCTCCCACCTCAGCCTTCCAAAGTGTGTGAGCTACAGGTGTGAGCCGCTGCACTCAGCCTTCTAGAGACTTTAAATGAGTGTGTGTGTGGTTTTTTTTAATCATATTTACCATTTAACCTACATTGTCGGAGAGAAAGTCAAATTGAGGTCCTTACCCATCCATTCCAGAAGTCCACTCTCTCTGGGCTATTTTCGAAGATTCTGTGAACATATAATTAAATAATTTGTTGGTTCTAGCATTAAGAAACCTGTATGATTCAGTCTTTAACATTCATAAAGTGAAAAAGATTATGGGAGTGTTTCATCTTCAGTAATTTGCAAGCATCATAGAAAACAGAATGTTAGCATTCCCAAGAAGCTACATTTTGTGCTGACAGAAGGTTCTACAGCAGGAAAGGACATTCTGCTCCATCTAGGGGAGCACCTGAGGAGTCTGCACCCTTTTAAATGTTAGGGGGTGTGTGCATACCTTCTTCACTGGGTATCTTTGTCTCCTGCAGATTCGCTCAATTGCGTGGAATGCAGATGATAGCAAACTGATTTCTGGTGGCACAGATGGTGCTGTGTATGAATGGAATCTGTCCACAGGAAAGAGAGAGACAGAATGCGTGCTCAAGTCTTGCAGCTACAACTGTGTTACTATCACCCCCGATGCCAAAATTATCTTAGCTGTTGGAACAGACTACACCCTCAAGGAGATTGCGGATTCTTTGGTGAGTCTGCCCCTGTCCCGCCTCTGGGCTGCTGCATGGATATGCAGGGACAGCCTCCCGTGTTTACAGCAGAAAGTAGGCACGAAACGAGGGCCTCCGCTTACAGGGCCCCTTCTTTCCAGGATAATATCAGGCTCCTTATTCCTTTTGGATTAGCTCAATTATCATCACTTCCTGAATTTCCTGCCCAGTTCCCTTCCTGACTGGGTGAAACTGTAGATTGTGGGGCTCTTTTTCATTTCCATTTTACTTGCTGTCTATAACTTCCACCTTCCAGGCACGGAGGTCATGTCATCTCTAAACTGCACTCTTACCCTTGGTCTGCACTTACTTTCCTGGGGTAAAAACCTAACTACAGCATGCACTGAGTAACACCAGGGACGAACTGCAGAGACTCTAAGATTATAATGCCATGAGATTATAATGCCACATTTTCATTGCACTTTTCTGTTTAGACACACAGATACTTTCCATTGTGCCACGGTTGCCTACAGTATTCAGTATCATCACATGCTGTTCAGTTGCAACCTAGGAGCAGTAGGCCCTACCACATAGCCTAGGTATATAGTAGGCTGTCGCAGCTAGGTTTGTGTAAATACACTCTGATGTTTGCATGACAAAGCAGCCTAACCATGTATCCCATATCAAGCGATGCATGACTGTGCAGTCAGCTGCTATCACCTAGCCTTGCCACTGTATTCTTTTGAAATCCCCAGACTTTGAAACTGTACAGTTATCTTGGGCTCCAAATAGTGAAGGGAAGAGAGAGGAGCTTAGCAAGGATGCATCACATAAACACGGCCTGTGCACTCCTCCAGCTGGCTCCTCCGGCTTTTCCCGTGACTGGTGCCTGGGAAAGTGCATAGATACCACAGCAGCAAACCAGCCCAAGCAGGTCTCCCCGTGGTTGGAACACGGCTGAGAGTTTGGTGACTCTCCTATGTACCCCCAAGTATCCCAGTCCTCATTCAATAGCAGCTATCAGTGCTGTGCCAGAATAAAGCCCTTTTAGCTGGCACACTGCGTGGTACACAACGTTCAGTAAATGTGTGTGTAGCTGGGAGGGTGGAGAAGTGCGTGGATGAGCGGCGGAATGAAGTGGTGTCTAAGAGTACGGTAGTCCCCCTTATCCCCAGTTTGTTACCTGTGGTCAGCCAAGGTCTAAAGACAGGCAAGCACTATACAGTAAGGTATTTTGAGAGAGAAACCTCATTCACATAGCTTTCATACAGTATTGTTGTAACGGTTCTATTTTATTAGCTATTATTTATCTCTTAACTGTGCCTAATTTATAAATTAAACCATATCGTAGTTATGTATGTACAGAAAAAACATAGTATATATAGGGCTCTGTACTATCTGTGGTTTCAGGCAGCCACTGGAGATCTCAGAACATATCCCTCGAGGATAAGTGGAGACTAACGTATAGTTTTGTTTATGTAATGGGCATTAATAAGTGCTTACTGAATACGTTTATGACCAATATCCCATTCTCATTTTGAAATGCACCCAAGCATAGCAGTCAAAGCAGAGACTGGAGCCCACCTAGGTACATGAGTTGAAGCAAGTCCCTTGTCACACAGATGGTCCATCATCTGTAGACTAGGGGTAACAGTTACTGCCTCGGAGGGCTTTGTGAGGATTGAAGGAGGTGCAACGTGGAGAAGGCACAGAACAGTGCTTGGCACAGAGTCAGTGCAATATGAGGTCTCTCTTTATTACTATTACTCCTAACTCATGAAACTGGTTATTCACCAGCAACACAGCAAGAATATCTAGTTTGTGCCTTTTCTGTGCTTGGCACTATTTCAGATGGCAAAGGGATAGAAAAAGCATTTTTTAAAGACAGGCCCCTAGGGATGCTGTTAGAGGAGAGGAAGGGGGAGAATGGCACCGGGACCCGGGGGCCACAGCTCGGCCCCTCACACTGAGCAGAGCTACCTGTGTCCCAGATCCTTCGAGAGATACCGGCGTTTGACGTCACCTACACAGCCATTGCCATCTCGCATTCCGGACGCATGATGTTTGTGGGCACCTCGGTGGGAACCATTCGTGCCATGAGGTACCCTCTGCCCCTGCAGAAGGAGTTCAATGAGTACCAGGCCCATGCTGGTCCTGTCACCAAGGTGAGCAGGGCCCTGTCCCCAGGAACCCAGTCCCACACCTGCCTGTCATGTGCCTGCTTCATCCCTTCAACTTCCCAATGGCTTTTCTGTGTCCTTCCTCTCTCCTTGTTTATTCACCATCGTTCATCGAAGCAACATCTGTTGACTACGAATAAGCTCTTTGTTTAAACTACTTCCAGGAATTTAGCCTAGGAAGTCCTCAGAGATACACCTAAAAATGTATGTATGGCGTTTTCGCCACAATATCCTGCATACTAAGGGGCCGTTTGGTGGATGCCGTAGCTGCCGTGAGTGTGGGCTGCGCTTGACCACAGCTGCCTCCTTCTCCAGAAAATGACCCCAGGCTGAAAGGAGCCATAACCCAGAAGATTAGCCCCTACCGCTCCCTGAGGGTACAAAAGGCCACCCCGGGGCAATACCATGAGCACACATTTGTAAATTGTCCTTCCACTCCCCCTTCTCATAAAGTCAAGTCTGTGTTCACAACAGTCAAAATGTGGAAGCAACCAAGTATCCATCGAGAGATGAATGGATAAGTAAAATATGGGATGTCTATACAATTGAACCGCATCCTGCCTAAAAAGGAAGGAAATTCTGCAGTGTGCTGCCACACGGATGAACCTTGAGGATGTTATGCTAAATTAAGCAAGGCCCACCACAAAAAGACAAATATGGTGTGATTCCACTTTTAGGAGATACTTAGAGCAGTCAGAATCACAAAGACGGAACACTGTTGGCAGGGGCCGTGAGGAGGGAGGAATGGGGAATGATCATTTCGTAGGTACAGAGTTTGGGTTTTACAAGACGAAAGGGCTATGAGAGTGGTTGGTGGTGATGGTTGCACAGCATTACAGATGCGTTTAATAACTCTGAACTGTACACTTGAAAATGGTTAAGATAGCAAATTTTACAGAATGTGTATTTTACCACGATCTTAAAAATGAAATAAAAAAAGAATGATCTTGCATGCAAAATGGTTGCCAAGATATCATAGCCAATAGTAAATTAAAGGTTATTCATAATCTGAAAAAAAGTAACGTCTGTACCTACACTGACCCGCTGAAAAACAGGTGCTGGGAAAGTGCCTCTTTCCACAGATTGAATGGCACAGCACCTGAGGTTTTTAATTATGTCCCAAACTCTGTAGTGGCTTACCTACAACACTAGCAGTATTAAGAAAAGATTTTCCTTTATAAAACAGAACATTCCTGTATCAAGCCTGGGCCTTGGGTCCAGAGGAAATTCCCACAACATATTCCCCCTCTTCCTTTCAGATCTACCAAGTTTTGTGGATGAGGTATTCATTTTTCCGATTATAAAAACAATGCTATTTATTTTAAAAATAAAAATCCTCATAACAGCATCATCATTATTTTGATGCGTTTCCTTCTACATTTCCATATGGGTGTGTTTTAAACAAAATGAAGATATTACTGTAAGGCCACTCTCATGACCTGCTTTTGTTTTACTTCATGCTACTGTAAGCATTTGTCCATACAATTAAATATTCCTTAAAAGCATGATTTTAGTAGCTATACAAATATCCTATCATATGGTGGACCGTAACTTACTAACTCTTCTCTTGCTATTAGGCATTTAAATTATCTTATGCTCTATAATGAATAGCCCAGTTTACAAATTCATGTGCGCCTCTCTGATTCTTTCCTAAGACTAAATTCCTAGAGAGGGAGAGAATTCCTTAATGCAAGAGTATTACCATTTTCAAGATTCTTGACACATACTGCTGATTGTAAGAAGACATTTTCATAGTTAACTCTTTGAACTTGTTATATTGAAATACTTACAGATTTCAGAGGAAATTTTAAAGATGGTACAGAGGTCCTATGTATCCTTCACTTAATTTCCCTCAATAATTACATCTTATCAAACTGTAGCAAAATATCAAACCAGAAAATTGACACTGGTACACTGTGTATATCTAGTTCTATGTTATTTCTCACATGCATAGTTTGTGTAGCCACCACTAAAATCACAATATCGAGCCATTCTGTCACTGCAAAGATCTCCATGCTACCCTTTATAGGATACAGTGGCTCACACCTCTAATCCCAGCACTTTGGGAGACCAAGGCAGACAGATCACTTGAGGTCAGGAGTTTGAGACTAGCCTGGCCAACATAGTGAAACCCCCATCTCTACTAAAAATACAAAAATTAGCCAGCCATGGTGCTGCACACCTGTAATCCCAGCTACTCGAGAGGCTGAGGCAGGAGAATTGCTTGAACCTGAGAGGCAGAGGTTGCAGTGAGCTGGGAGATTGTGCCACTGCACTCCAGCCTGGGCAACATAGTGAGACCCTATCTCAAAAAAAAAATGAAAAGTTATTTCTTCTATCTAATGTTTGTTCCTGTTAACCAGTCTCTCTTTATCATCTCACCCACCCATACACTCATCCCTGGTATCTGTCATGCCACTCTCTACCTCCATGAAATCAACATTTTTTAGCTCCCACATATGAATGAGAATATACAATATTTTTTTCTGCACCTAATTTATTTCACATAACTTCTGGATGGAAGTTCCATCCACGTTGCTGCAAAAACATGATTTCATTCATTTTTGTGGCCAAATAGTATTTCAGTGGGTATATGCACCACATTTTCTTTATTCATTCATCCATTGACGGGCACTTCAGTTGATTCCATAACTTTACTATTGTCAATAGTGGTACAATAAATATGGGGAGAATTCAAGCAATTCTCCTGCCTCAGCCTTTCAAGTAGCTGGGATTACAGGCAGGCACCACCATGCCTGGCTAATTTTTGTATTTTTAGTAGAGATGGGGGTTTCACCATGTTGGCCATGCTGGTGTCAAACTCCTGACCTCAAGTGATCTGTCTGCCTTGGCTTCCCAAAGTGTTGGGATTACAGGCGTGAGCCACTGTGCCAGGTTGAAGAAGAAATGAGTTCTAATGTATCCTTTCAATACACTGATTTCCTTTCCTTTCAATAAATACCCAGTAATGAGATTGCAGAATTGTATGGAAGTTCTATTTTTAGTTTGGTTGAGAAGTCTACATACTGTTTTCCATAGAGGTTGTACTAATTCACCTTCCCACCGACAGTGTCTAAGAGCTCTCTTCTCCACGTCCTCACCATAATCTGTTAGTTGTTGTCTTTTTAATAATATCTATTCTAACTGGGGTAAGATGGTAACTTATTGTGGTTTTGATTTGCATTTCCCTGATGATTAGTGATGTTGAGCATTTTTTCATATACCTGTTGGCCATTTATATGTATTCTTTTGAGAAATGTCTATTCATGTCCTTAGCCCACTTTTTTTTTCTTTTTTTTTTTTTTTAAGAGAGAGCTTCGCTCTTGTCGCCCAGGCTGGAGAGTGCAATGGCACAATCTCGGCTCACTGCAACTTCTGCCTCCCAGATTGAAGCAGTTCTCCTGCCTCAGCCTCCCAAGTAGCTGGGATTACAGGTGCCTATCACCACGCCCAGCTAATTTTTGTATTTTAGAAGAGATGGAGTTTTGCCCTGTTGACCAGGCTGGTCTCAAACTCCTGACCTCAGGTGATCTACCCACCTCGGCCTCCCACAGTGCCGGGATTACAGGCAATGAGCCACCACTCTACACCCCTTAGCTCACTTTTTAATGAGATCTTTAGGATTGTTTGTCTGTTTAATGTTGAGTTGTTTGAGTTCTTTGTGTATTCTGGATATTGGTCTTTTGTCAAAGTAATAATTTGCAAATATTTTCTCCCATTCGACAGGTTGTCTCTTCACTCTGTTAATTGCTTCCTTTGCTGTGGAGAAGCTTTTTAGCTTAATGTCCTGAATGTGGCTTTTTCCATTCAGCTTAATCCCCTTCAAATCTGTCTGAGTTGTGTTGTATATCAAAAATAGTTTATTCCCTTTTATTTCTGAATAGTATTCCATGAAAAACAAATCACAGTTTGGTTAGCCATTCACTATTGTAGGATATTTTTAATTTTTTCCAGTTTTCAGCTATTATAAATAAGGCTGCTGTGACCTATCATATACAGGCTTTTGTGTGGAAATAAGTTTTCATTTCTCTGGGATAAATGCCCAGGAATATAACTGCTGAGTCATATCGTAGGTGTATATTCAGTTTTTTATTTTTTAAACTGCCAAGCTATTTTCCAGAATGGCTGTACCATTTTACAGTCCCGCCAAGAATGCTGAGACCCAGTTTCTCTGCATCATCGCCAGCACTTGGTGTTGTCACTTTTTTATTTTAGCTGTTCTAACGGGTGTGTAGTGATATCTCATCATGGTCCTAATTTTGTATTTTCCTAAATGACTAATACTGTGGAACATGTCTTCATGTGCTTACTTGCCATCTGTGTAGTTTCCATATCTTTTGTCTACTTTCTGATTGGATTGTTTCACTTTTGTACTGTTGCGTTTTGAGAGTTCCTTATACACTCTAGATAACAGCTGACTCTTCATATTCCAAATCCACAGGGAACATAGACATAACCTTGCTTCTTCTATTCATTAACAGATGACTGTGAAGGCTCCTGTCTCATTCTCGCCCAGGATCAGGTCTACCTCCCTGTGAGGCTGTGCCCAGGATTGCATGGGGGGAATCCTCAGCTGCCTTGCATGACAGCTGGCTCAGCCCTGATCATCTGTGGCCTTGAAAGCTTCCTTGCCCCATGGCCTTTTTCTCTTCAGATGTTGCTTACCTTTGATGATCAATTCCTGCTGACCACTGCTGAGGACGGCTGCCTATTCACCTGGAAGGTCTTTGATAAGGATGGCCGGGGAATCAAGCGAGAGAGGGAGGTGGGCTTTGCTGAAGAGGTGCTTGTGACTAAAACAGACATGGAAGAAAAGGTAAGAATTGGATCCAATGAAGAGGGACATGGAATTCCTTACCAGTCTACATTCAGTTGGGGGTCCCACACCGGGGCCCTCTACAGTCTGGCTACACCCCGTACCCAGTGCAGACCCCACAGCTCCCTGCACACCCTCTGTCCACAAAACCAAGCTGTCCTCCTCACTGCCACTGCCCACCCTACTCTGCCTGTCTTCCTGCCATGTGATTATCTTTCCTTACACTGTGCTTAGCTTTTATTCTGTGATCTGGTTTTCCTCTTCCTACTCTTTGAAACCAACAACAACGAAACATACAATTCTCTTATATGAACAACAATTTCTAGCACATGCTGGGCACATGGAAGACAATCAATAAATACTTACAGAAGCAAAGTACGTTCTCATTTAAATCTCACAGCATCTCCACGAAGAAGATACTGTCATTCTCCACGTTTCGAAAAACAAGTTAGGAGAGTCTGAGGGACACGTCCAAAGTCAGTGTGCTGATAAGTAATAGGACTAGAGTTCTAATCCAGATTTAATCTAGAGCCCCTCCCTTAATCACTATACAAAAGGGACGTCCCTTCTTTCCTGTTGATGCAGTAAACATTCCGTAGAGGTGTGTTTTGCAGAGATCTGAGTGCGTAGCTCTGTGCTGCTCCCTAAGGGAGAAGCTGAATGTATGATAAACACACGAGGCTCATGGAGGATCGCAAAGCTACACAGCCATTCTGTTCATCCAAAATCTAAGTGTGTTTATTGAATACCTACCATTTGCCAGGCACTGGGGATGCATGTCTGTCTGAAAAGACAGGCATGGGCCCTGTGACATGACCAGGAAGCTCACAGTCAAGTGAGGGATAGAAAAAAGTAGAGCCACAGAGCAGCAATGCAACAGTACCACGAAGCAGGGTGACAAGTCCCTGGCATTTGCTGGAGATCCCTTCTAGAGCTCCCTAGAATTTTCTGCAGGAAAAGCAAAGAGGGAGAAGAGGATGAGGGAGGGCCCATGAGAGTGGGGGCCTGACCTGCTGCAGAAGGAGGCCTTCCTCCTCTCTCTTATCTCTTCTGTTCTTCCCAGGGGGTAGGGGAAGAGGCCAAATAGGAAACAGCAGGCTGAAGCAAAGGCCTGAAGGTGCCTAAGCTGAGCGCAGCCCCGCATGGACCTGACAGTACTGCTGCCAGGCTGGAGATGACTCACTTCTTGAAGCTCCCTTCTGTCTTACCATCCATGTGACCACACTCTGTCCCCTGTAAACCTTTCTGACTCTTCCTCCCCACTCCTTTGCTGGCTCCTCCTCCACCTGTCCCTAAAAAACATGTTCCCAGAATTCCCAGCTGTCTTTTCCTTTATATTCCATTATAGTCTATGTAACTCTCAGGCCATGCTTTACTCACTTATTATTCATTCTCTGCCTAGGATTTACAGAGGGGTCTGCTATGTACCTGACACTATACTAAGGTCTGGGATTACAGAGATAAAAGACATAGAGCATCCTTTAGCTTATAGCCTGGGAGGAGGGCAGAGTATCATAAAAAAGGGAATTAAGCGTGCAGTGGGATAAAGTGTCATGAAAGAACAATGCTGTGGGAGCCCAGGGGAAGGACCTTGGCTCAGGCCAGGTGGTGCCAGAGGACATGAGCCTTGCCCAGAGCTTTCCAGAACAAATGGACAAGGGCCACTGAGCGATAAGCAGTGAGTGTGTACGAGGGATGAGGGAGTGGTGGTCTGCAAAGCTGCTCCTAGTTAGGGTGTGCCAGAGAGAAGGGATGAAGACAACACTGGAGAGAAACAGATAGGTCGGGGGGCCTTTTACACCATACATGAGGCTGGAGATTGTGCGTAAGGACCGTTCATAGATTTAAGCTGGGGAATAACTTCATATAATTCGCATCTCGGAGAGATTACTCTGCAGCAATGTGGAGAATAGTTGGAGGAAGGATACTGAACGAGGACCTCAAACACAGCATGTCAAAGGCTGGGTCATCCCTCTGGATAAATGTATCCCACAAGCCAAGGCAGACCCCTGGGGTCATTGGTAAGTCTTCATTCAGTGCTGACCAGCTTGCTAGTCTTATTCTAGGTTCTGTGGATAAAACAGCGAAGCAAGACAGGCCAAGCCCCACCCTCAGGTACTGGCCCTTCTACCTGGGAGACAGCCTTCATCCATGATCCTTACCTCTCCACCCCACACCCAATCAGGCACCACTCTCTCTAAATTCAGTCTCTCCAACCTCTCAATTCCTCTCCAGTCCCCTCCCTACCTCATTCCAAACCCTCCATCTCTCACCTGGTCTGTGCAGTTCCCCCCCACCCGCCCCAGCAACTCCTCATCCTGCCTTTGGTCCTTTAATCTAATCCGTGCTGCATACCGGCATTGGAGAGGTGTTTATAACCCCAAAGTCAGCCTGATCGGGTTCAGTGAGGACCTCTGAAGCCCTCTAGGATAAAATCCAAACTTCCCAGCATGGCCTGCCGGGCCCTTGATGGTCTGACGCAGTCTTGGCTGACTCCTCCTGTGCCTCCCACCTGCACCATATCACATACCCTGGCCGGGCATTCGTGCTCCCACCTCTCTGACTCTGCACGTGCAGTTTGCGCTTACCCTTCATCTCAGTACTTCCTGTGTGCCTCATCCACAGTAGTCTGCTGGCCAGGAATGCAGAAATGGACGTAATCCGTTCCTTGACGTCAGGTCGTTCACAGGTACTAGAGGAGACAGACCAGAAACGATGAGATAGGGATGCAAGGGGTGTCCCCATAGATAAGCAAGAATAAAACACTGCATTCGGACCCACTCTGTCGTCAACAGTAACTTTTTTAGGAAATGAAGGGTGTGTGTATTACAGTATTTTCAGAAAACTTTGGCATCAGTGAGTACGATGGGAGAAGACACTAGGCTAGGCACAGTGGTTCAAGCCTGTAATCCCAGCACTTTGGGAGGCTGAGGCAAGAGGATCACTTGAGCCCAGGAGTTTGAGACCAGCCTGGGCAACATCGTGAGACCCCCTATCTCTACAAAAAATATAAGAATTAGCCATGTGTGGTGGGGCATGCCTGTAGTCCCAGGTAGTTGGCAGGCTGAGGTGAGAGGATCACTTGAGCCCAGGAGTTCGAGACCAGCCTGGGCAACATTGTGAGACCCCGTCTCTACAAAAAATATAAAAATTAGCCATGTGTGGTGGGGCATGTCTATAGTCCCAGGTAGTTGGCAGGCTGAGGTGAGAGGATCACTTGAGCCCAGGAGGTCGAGGCTACAGTGAGCCGTGATCACACCACTGCACTCCAGCCTGGGTGATAGAGTGAAACCCTGTCTCAAAAAAAGAAAAGAAAAAAGTTAGAATAAGTAGACACTAGGCATAAAAACCAGCAAGACAGAAGAGTTAGGACATAAAGTAATAAAAGTGAGTCTAAGAAGACATCAAGAGGGACAGATTGGCAGTACCAAGAACTCTCCAGCTTTGGGCACTTACCACGATTTATAATAATGGGTTTATCTGGCTGCCTTGGTAGACTCTAAGTTCCACGGGGACAGGAGTCATTCTTCAGTAAATATCTCCTGAGCTCCTACTCCGTGTTAGACACTGTTCCAGAACTTGGGATATATCAGCAAATAAATCTGGCCAATGTGGAGCTTAAGTTCTAACGGGGAAAGAAGAATAAAAACAATAAACAAAATAATCAGTAAATTATAGAAAGTGCAAGCTCTAAGGAAAGAATAGGTAGAGCAGAGTAAGAGAGGTGCTGCGTCCTGGAAATGGGAAGGGGTTGCAGAATTAGACAGGGTGATCCGAGTCAGCCTCATCAGGCAGGACACATTTAAGCCGACTTGAAAGAGATGAGCGCATTACTAACACAACTATATGTTGTGTTATTTTTATATTTTTTGTAGGATATTTGAGGATAGAGGAGGAAGCTCATCTCTCTTCTTGTTTTTAGCCAGTGTATTGCCTGGGGAAAAGATGACAAGTTCTAGTTGAGACACATTGAGTTTGAAGCTAGGCAGAGCTGCAGGTCTCACGTGAAGGCCACCGGTTTAAATATTCTGATTCACCCTCACTGTCAGTGTTGTTGATTCTCTGTCCTTCTCCCAAAGGCGCAGGTTATGTTGGAGCTAAAGACTCGTGTGGAGGAATTAAAAATGGAGAATGAGTATCAACTCCAACTCAAGGACATGAACCATTCTGAGAAGATGAAGGAGCTAACAGAGAAGTTCCTCCAGGAAATGGAGTCCTTGAAAACAAAAAACCAGGTCTGTTTAAGAGACTGAGCAACAACCACAAATAACCAGAAATTTCCACTTTCGAGACAGGCCTGGCATATGTTGTCCAAGCTATGCTCAAACAGTAAGATAAATGAAAATGTCCAATTTTAAAGCACAGTTGATGATGTCAGAAATGCTTATAACTGGCCAGGCACTGTGGCTGATGCCTGTAATTCCAGCACTTTGGGAGGCAGAGGCAGGTGAATCACTTGAGGTCAGGAGTTCAAGACCAGCCTGGCCAACATGGTTAATCCTCATCTCTAGCCAGGCATGGTGGTGCACGCCCATAGTCCCGGCTACTCGGGAGGCTGAGGTACAAGAATCGGTTGAACCGAGGAGGCGGAGGTTGCAGTGAGCTGAGATCGCTCCACAGCACTCCAGCCTGGGTGACAGAGACTCCATCTCAATAAATAAATAAATAAATAAGCTTACAACCAACTGCTAAGTGAAGAAAAGCAGAATATAAACCTCTTTATGGTGAATGGCATTAACTGGCATTAATGGGATTAAAAGATTAATTTATCTGATCTATAGTAGTAAAAAAGTATAGAAAATAGATAACAGTATAATTATCTCTGGAAGTTGGGATTATAGATAATTTAAATTTTCTTTTTTTAAACTTTTTGTAAATTGTAACTTCTCTAGGAGAAATTTATTTAAAAACAAAATGAAAAGATAGGAAAAACATAAGAATATCAAAGCATAGATGGAGAATAACTAGCAGAATACTGATTTATTGTCAAGAAGTTAAATAAAATCAGTCTACATGGCCTTTACATAGTTAGATTTGGTCCAGGACTCTCCCAGATTCTTTTCTTTGTTCTACACAAATCTGGACTCCTATCTAAACATCCCCGCTGGGCAAGGTGGCTCACCCCTGTAATCCTAACACTTTAGAATGCTTAGGCAGGAGGATCGCTGGCATCTGAGAGCTTGATGCCAGCATGGGTAACATAGTGAGACCCTGTCTCTACATAAAGTGAGTCTGTCATGGTGGCATATGCCTGTAGTTCTAGCTACTTGGGAGGCTGGGGTGGGAGGATCACTTGAGCCTGGGAGGTGGAGGCTGCAGTGAGTCATGATCTCACCACTGCACTCCAGTCTGGGTGACAGAGTGAAGCCCCATCCCCCACCCCCTAAAAAAAAATCCCAATTATGTGCTTGAGGGATATTTGTTTCTTTAATGTCTATGGGTCAGAAAATTTGGCTTAAAAAAACAAACCTTGGCTATTAATTGTATTAACTCATCTTGTAATTTTATTCATCTAGGCAACAAACATTTATTTGGTGCTCTATATGAGCACAAAATTAGGTCCTGAAGATGGCACACCACCCCCAACTCTCCCCTACCAAGCCCGAAAGCTTTCCTGCTTAAAGAAAACACTTCCTCAGAAGCTTACACTTGAGCACACCCAAGGATTTCCTTGACAGCAACGTGCCGGCAATGGAGGATTCCAATGAATCCCTTTTTCACCCAGAAGTCCTTTTGACATGTGTCCAAAACTGAAGTCATTGACAAACCCATTTGGTAGCAAGAATAGAAATAGGAGAAGTATAGAGCTTTTAGAGCAGAATATAACAAATAAAAAGTGATCATGTGGTTGTGCTTCATAACACGGTACTTGGTACATGTTTGTGAGCAAAGGAGGGTGCTACTTACAAAATCAGTTCTCGCCCTGGAGTGCTTTCCGCAGATGTGTGTAAATGAGGAAATGTGACTCTGTTTTAGGTCTTAAGAACAGAAAAAGAGAAGCAGGATATATCTCACCGTGAGCACATAGAAGCGCTCCTAGACAAGCAGAGCCGGGAACTGCAAGACCTGGGTGAGCCCAGAAGCAGAGGCCTTGTTGGTTAGGGTTGGGAAGAGTCAGGTTATGGGAAAACGCTTGAGAGTCCTCCAGACACAAGTAGAAGTCTCAGGGAATACGGCTTTGTCTAAAGAGAGGCTACATGCATCCCCTGGAACTCACCATGGTTTTTACTTCTGTGTTTTCACTCATTCACTAAACACACATCCATGGCAGGGAAGTAGGAGACAAGGAGAAGTTCAAGTTTGGAACCTGACAGTCTTGCCTTGGGTCCCAGGCTCACCACATACTTACCAGGTATTCTAAGGAGTCGCCTAACCTTACCGAGCCTCACTTTACTCTTCTATAAAGTGGGGGTCCTAATACCTGTGTTTCACACTCAGGACATTCTTCTTGGCCCTGAGTCCCCAAATACCCCTCTAGGCTTTCCTAGAAACTTTTCTTCCCAGAGCAGGCAGGGAGGAGTTTGGCTGCCTGGTGAGATGATGGGATGAGGGGGTGGTGGCGAGGAAGCCAGGCAGGCATTTGAATCTTGGCTCTGGAGGCAGCTGCTCCAGCTGGTGCTGGAAGGGATGGGAAAGTGCCCAAGGCTCCCGGGTGTCCCTGAAGAGGGTGCTGCTCTCCAACCTTAAATACCTTCTTTGTTTCTCTCCAGAAAGTTCCAACAACCAAACGTTGCTTCTAGAATATGAGAAGTACCAGGAGCTACAGCTCAAGTCCCAGAGGATGCAGGAAGAGTATGAAAAACAGCTCCGGGATAACGATGAGACCAAGAGCCAGGCCCTGGAGGAGCTGACTGAGTTTTACGAGGCCAAACTGCAGGAGAAAACCACCCTTCTGGAAGAGGTACTCACAGGAAACCATGCTGTGCCTCCCTTTCACAAAGAAAGGCCACCCGTTCATTCAGATTGTCACTGCATAGCCACTGTACACTGTATGCCAGGATATCTGTACACTGGGAATTCAACAGTGGCCACAATAGACAAGGTTTCTACCCTCAAGGAACTTATATCTAATGGGAGAGACAGCCACATAAATAAACATTAGGACTGTCACAAGTTTTGTAGAGAATGTAGGAAGCCTGGGTATCCAGTGAAGAAGACCAAAGGAGATCAGGGATGGGGTGTTGGTAAGATCAGAGTTGTAAGGTCAGGAGTTTGAGACCAGCCTGACCAACATGGAGAAACCCCATCTCTACTAAAAATACAAAATTAGCTGGACATGGTGGCGCGTGCCTGTAATCCCAGCTATGTAGGAGGCTGAGGCAGGAGAATCGCTTGAACCCGGGCGGGGCAGAGGTTGCGGTGAGCCAAGATCATGCCACTGCACTCCAGCCTGTGCAACAAAAGTGAAACTCCATCTCAAAGAAAAAAAAAGAAGATTGAGTTTGAAGTGGTGGAGCATGAGGCCTGATTTGGTAGGAAAAGAGGGGAGGCAGGAAGACGGAAGGACAGATGGGAAGAAGGTAGACAGGTCAAGGGCCCCGTGGCCCTGGTCTCCATTTCTGGAATGACACTCATCTCCTATTCCCTGGGTCAGGTCCCCATGCTCATCTCACCTCAAGCCCTGTTGGCACTAAGGTGCGTGAGTCCCTTCTCCCCTCACCACACATCCACTCTCTCCTCCGAGCCAGGCACAGGAAGATGTCAGGCAGCAGCTGCGGGAGTTTGAAGAGACCAAGAAGCAGATTGAAGAAGATGAAGACCGGGAAATCCAAGATATCAAAACCAAGTATGAGAAAAAGCTTCGGGATGAAAAGGAATCAAACCTGCGGCTCAAGGGAGAAACAGGCATCATGAGGAAGAAGGTATCAGGCTGTTCTCTGAGAGCTGGGGGATGGGTGAAGGTGTCTCGGAGGAAGCCAGGGTGGGTGGACTGACCGCCCGGGGGGGCCTGGCCAGGTCCTGCCTGTCCTTGTCTCCAGTGAGCAGGCTGAGAGAAGAGCACTGGCCAGTGCACCTCCAAGCAGATGGACCCTCCCCACCACATCCTCGGAAAGGCAGCTGCACGGGCTTCTCCTTTCCACAGGATGTTGGGGTCCCCATGTGCAGATAGAGGCTTTCTAGTTTTCACTTATTGGCTAGTAGGATTCAGTCAGTGTTTTCAGAGCTAACCCTCAGATGGAAATGGAAGTGGAGATAAGATCTTCTGGGGATGAGACAGATGAAGTCTTAGCCTGGAAGCATCCTTGGGCTCTTGGTCCAGGGAGTCCTGGCTGGCTCCTGTTCAGCGCCAGGGGTGGGAAAGGGAATGGGGGTGTAGGATGCTTAATTTACAAAGTGGGGAAGATGTTTTTAGTTCACTCATTGTCGCAGGTGAGGAAGGCTTCAATTCAGTTTCCTCAAAACATTTAGCCCTGGAGAAGCCAAGTTCAAAGCAAGCTCAAGTTTCTTCCTATTATAAAGCATACCAGTAAATCCAGGGGACAATCAGTCTTCCCTTCTGGCTCATGGCAAAGATGGCTCATCAGTCAGAGCCCACTTTCTGTGACCTTGATGGCAGTGAGGATCATAGCCTTTCCAGATCAGTGTGGTCATGGGAGTCTCTGGTCCACTTGGCATACTGGTCTC